CCCCCCCCCCCCCCCCCCCCCCCCGCATTTTCGTCTTCAGGAGAGCCGTGGAGCCCGGCGGGCTGGGCACGGCGTGCGGACGTCGGGGCCACCGGGCCACCCCGCCCGCGGCCCTACCTGCGAGCCACAGGAGGACGATCCATCCCAGGACGTGCCCATCCATCTTCCCAGTGGTCCAGGCGGCGCGGGGCGGCGGGAGCGGCGCGGGGGCGGCCCCGCTCGGGCAGCCGCCTCCCCGCAGAGCCGGCCGGGCTGGCGGAGCGGCCGCGCCGAGTGGCTCCGCTCCGCTCCTCCCCCGGGCCGGCTCCCCGAGGCCGCCCCCGCCGCTGTCCGGGCTCGGGCGGGGGGCGGCGGCGGGGAGGGGGACGCGGCTTCCCGAAACTGCTTCGCTTCCCCCCCTCTCGCCCTCCGGCAAAGGCGCGTTTCGGTTGCCTGATGCCGCTCCTCAGCCTACGGGCACTCCGGCACGTTCCTGTGCAACTCCTTCAGCCCCCGACACCCCCGCTTCTTAGCGGGGCTCTTACAACTTCTCTAGTAAGCGCTTAAAAATGTCCCCGCCGATCATCTGTCCTCCCCAAATTAGCCAAATGTATACCTTGGGAAATGAGCGTAGACGGCTCCTGTTCTAAATTTCCCTGGAGTTCCCACTTCCAGCATGGGCACAGCAAGTAATTATTGTAATTTTAGATAAAGGAGTATAATTTTAGGTGAGGAGGTTCTGGCTGTTAACAATGGGCAGCCGAGTTGCGGGTGTTAAGTTTTCGTGCCGACATGATACTGGAAGGGGATGGGAATTTTTTTTGTTTGTTTTTGGTTTATTGTGGGGGGTTTTTTTGCGAGAAAGGGCTCATATACAGTCTTAAATGACATTTTAGAATATGGATGTTGCTTAGAAATTAAATGGTCCTGGCCGCAGCAAACCCACTGGATGCACATTAACTGCAGTTAAAACTTTTAAAGTTTCTGTGAAAACTTAATGAGTCGATGGAATTATTCATGGGCCTAAACAGCTGGCTAAAGTAGCATAATGTTTTCTTTTGTGGCTCAGCACCGGAGAGAAGCACCTTGCAAAATGGCACTCGCCGTTCACAGCATCCAGCACAGCTTCCCTTTGAGTGTTGTTCATCCTCAGGCACTTTTCTTACGGGGTTTGGCTGGTGTTTGTAACTAAAGCTGGGATGCTGCAGGCATCAGTGATCCACGTGAGAGTTGGGAGTAGTCTCCAACTTCTTCTCATCTGGAATCTGCCAAAAAAACATAAACGATTCTGATTTTTCTAAAGCAAAGCGCTTGGTGTGTCCTGCTGCTTAAGGCAGGGTGCACAGGGATGCCTGCCTGCAGGAAATCTGTACAAGCTGTCTACATTCTAGCAGGTGTTTTCCAGTTGCTTGTAGATTCCTCATCATTTCGCCTTTCAGACTGAACTGCTCTACAGGCAAGAGAAACTTTTCTTTAAAAGTGTGAATGAAAAAATATCAATAATTTCTGAAGGAAAAACCAAACCATCATGTTCTCTGTGATAAAAGATGTGTTGAAACATCTTTGGTTGTTTTCAGACAGGTGTAGTCCATCTGTTAGTAGAGTTAAAATGGAATTAAGCAAAGAGACAATACCTAGGTAGTTGATATGTTTTTAAGTGTTTTATTTGGAGCTCTTCAGTGTTGTTTAAAAGTATTTTTTCACATGGAAGTTTATTTTTATTCAGCATTGCTTTAAAAAAAAATACACACCCACCCCAATCAGAGTCCTGATGTTCCTCTGACTTGATACACAATGAATTTAACTGTTTTGCAGTACTAGCTAAAAGTTACTATTAAGAAGTCCCTGCTACACTAAATAATGTAAATATGTGCAGTAGTGCTATTCTCCTTCAGCACACTGATGTGACACCCCACTGACTTTGTGCATACTGACAGGTGGAAGACAAAGCAGAAACTCTCATTAGGGCCACAAATTCAGCCTCCAGCAATGTGTGGTTCCAGAAAATTCAGATGTAACTGTAATACTTTGCATCAGCACAGGGCCTGCCTCACCGCTGTTACCCATCTATAGGATACAATCCATGAAAGTTTGTATGGGTTGAACTAAGACTTCTAAATCATAAACACAAAGCTATTTTTCCCTCCTTCCCCTAACCATTTTTCCTGATAACCCTCAAAATTTCAAATTAAATCCTGGTTCCTTGCCTTTTTGTAACTTAGCTGACCAGGATTCTGATCCAGAGTTTCCTGAGACAATGGTGATGTTGATATTATCTCATCTGTTTAACACTGGGAGCAGTACAATCCCTTATGCGTCACTATTGTTAGCTACTACTGGGGTTTTTTCTTAGTGTTGTTTTTTTTTCATCTACTCCAGCTTTTGCAAATAAATTTGGCATGCATCACTTTTGCTAAACTTTTGACTCACGACAAAGGAAGGAAAGATTTTCAATAGAAGGAAGCACCATTGTTTCGCATGTAACGTTGGATTTATATCTGCTTTGAAATTCTCACAAACTTATTGTAGGGTCCTTTCTCATTTAACGTGAGCTGTCATTTGTATATATCCACCTAAGATGGATGCCCGGGCCGTGAATAGATGTTCCAGATCTCTGTAGACCTTTGATCCTTTGATTGCAACATCTGAGCTGGCTTAATAGTTAATGTTGGGATGTTGTCTTTCCTTTTAGCCCAAGAAAGCTGCATGACTACAGTTAGCCCCACTTCACCTTCAAACGGTGGGGAAATTCCTATGCAATTAGCCAGATGGCTTCAAGCCACAGCCCAGCAGGGATTCTCTGCCCTTTGAAAAACAACACACTGCTGGATTTAAACCTTCATCTCCCTCAGTCACTTGACAACCTTGACACCGGATGAGCAAATTACCGGTGTTTGCCCTGCGTAATTTAGTCCCAGGCAGAATCGGAGAAATACCACACTGTTTGATTTCACTGCTGATACCGTGACTCCGCCTGAAGGAGCTCTCTAAGCGATGGGATCATGAACAAATTCAGCTGAACAATGGGGAAACAAACAAACTAATTTTTACTCATGCTCTAACAGCTGCTGGCTCTTTTCTTTCCTTGCCAAGTACTTCATTCCTTCCTCCTTCCCTCGTCTCATCCTCCAGTACCAATCTTTTGTGGTCGTTTCCTCTGCTGATACGCAGTCAGCTTTTTAAGTTACCACCACGTGGAAGGATTTACACCAGCACCACAGTCAGAATGACCCATGTCAGCAAGATCCCCGAAAACCCACTCCGCTGCATGAAGATTTCCATGCCGTTCAGCCCCCTGGATTTCCCTTGTAGAAATTTCCATAGAAACAGTGATTTCAACAGCTTTTCTGGGATGCCATGATAGACTCAGCCATTAGACACCGCTCTCTTGATTCAGTACTGAGATGAGCACGCCGCAGAACTTACTGGGTGACACACCGTCAGTCCATAGCGTTTAAGTGAGTCTCTTCAGATAGCTACTAAGTAAAACTTTACCTCGATTGCTGTGTTACACTGGAATCTCCTATTCATCCTTGACAGCTTCACAGCAAGACATTGCTGAAATAAATGCACTCCCTGTGCATGTTGTTTTTTCCAGAGCTGCCTGGCTACATTTGATAGCACAATAATACAGTTTTACATCCCATTAACATCAGGAATGAGTGATATGTATATATAAACTGCTATTGTTTTTTAATCGTGATGTTTGTACCAAGAAATGCTTAGAATATTTAATGGAGAAATTTGGCTTTCTCAGTACAATCAATCGTCAGGTCTGTGATAAAAACTCAGTATTAGGAAGAACCCAAGAGAACAGCATCCTCCTATAGTATTTACTCCTCTGTATAAATTTCCTATGTTGCTCCTGACTCCTGGTTAGACACCAAAAATCATAGTATGCCTTTGCTACACTTACAGAGTGAACCTGAAATTTTCAGTTAAAGCACTAATGGCATGTCAGCAATAATGTTTTGTGAAGTTTTCATATAGGTAGAGGATCCCAAGTGAATCATCCCAGCTAACCATCTTCTGTGTGTCACTGAAGGCAAAAATACACAATAGGACAAACTCTGCTTGCATATCTACAGATAACCTAGGCAGTAAGAAGCTGTTAAGTCCTCTAAGGTTTTGGCTGTAGAGGAACTGTGGGCAGCACAAATCCCTTCAGGGACTTGGAGTTCATAACCTGGACTTTTGTGACTGTGCAATACAGCTTTCCCAATAAAATCGGCCACATCACTTTGCCACACTACATCGATTAGTTTGAACTACAGCCTGTATGTCACAAAAACGAATCAGAGATTACTTTGGGTGAGAAAGGATCTCACCCTGCCCCTAATTTAATCTAATTTTACTTTCTAGTACTGCCAAGCCAGAGGGCAAGGTACTCTTAAGGTATTTCTGGACAGGTAATGGCAGGCTGTGATCAAAGCACCCATAACATCCTCTCTGGAAGTTCAACAGACTGTTTGTTATATTGTCTTGAGCTAACACCAGAACTGGAGAGAGCATCCCAGGCCCAGATGCTAAAAGCATGAAAGCATCATCATCCCTGCTTGATATTTATTTATCCTTCCAGGGATGATGCTGTTAGTCCTCTTGATGCAGCATCACATGGAGAGCTCCTCTTTGGTTGATATCCCGCTCTATCATCTACCTTATTAAGTATCCCTTCAATCTTTGTATTTTTTACAAGTAACTCTGATGATTACGTGTTTTGTTGAAAGCTAACAAGTATTTAGTAGTATGCAGCCAAGAAACAACCTAAGAAAGATCTTAATAAAAAAAAGTGTGATTACAATTCCTCATTTAAAATTTTGAGACACCTTAAATTAATGCTTTAACCAGAGACTGGATGGTCTTTGTATCATAAATCTGTATCCTTAATTCAGTGTTGTGTGGTCGAGTCACATGCTTCTCGTGTCTGAATGCATTACCTTTAGTAACCACATTTAATATCTTTTTGATGCAATTACAAACCAATATGACAGAATGTATTTGCTGCAAACCCATGTTGATTTGCATTAATTACGTTACTTTTCTTTAATTCATTATTGAAGCAAATCCTGTATCAATAATTCTATTCTTTTGCCTGGGTTCCCTGTTAGTCTAACAGATCTGTAATTACTCAGGTCATCCTACTTAGGGCCAGATCCAAAACAGGAGTTTGGAAAATTTTTGGTACCTAACATTTAGGACTCAAATCTACAAAAAAAACTCA